TAGTGTTCCTGGAAGGAAKGCRTATCGCCCTCCACCTTTTCAACAAAGTTGTAATCTAATATTGTGTGATTAAAAAGTAATGGCTGTTTTAGTAAAACCTTAAGGGGAAAGTGCAATTTTATGTGACATTTTGCGTCATGCTCAGAGGATGTGTTGTGAATGATTCTCASCTACTACCATGCCAAATTTGAGCTTAATTTGWGTAAAATTAACCATTATAGCTGMCTTTGTSTTTGCTAAAATCAGTTGCWTATGGTGGCCATCTTGAAAGGGTCATGAATAGGTGTACAGTCAATGAGACTGAGTTTGCCCAAAACCGCTACAACTTCATCATTTCTCAAAATTAAATGGTCTTGGTTTAAAACTCATGGCATGAAAGGCGGTGGTGCATTCCTTTTTGGAACACTAGACCTTCAATTTTAATGATATATTATTTAAATGCAATGTTCAAAAGCTTTGTTTTGACTTGCTTTAGTGCCACATTACAAGAAGATGAAGAGATTAGTTCAGACAGAGCCAGATCCTGCAGATCCTGCAGATGCTACAACTCCATTCATCAGTCAGTTTGACTGACCCTTTGTGAGGACATGCAGTGCTAACTTCACTACAGTCAACAGTCAAAGCTGGGAATTAGAGCCTCTCTTTGGGATTCTTCAGGTATAATTAGAACGAGTTGGAAAAAAAGGAAAACGGCAAGGATTAGGGAGGCGTGAAAGAGCAAGAGCGGCAGTTAGACGTGGGCTGGAGGTAAATCTTGCCGTGCTGTCTGTGACCTTTGACTGGAGTGTCTGAGTGCTCACTGTTCTGCTGCGCTTGACTTCTGATGCTCTGAGAGACAATTTGATATTGAACTGAATGTGGGGAGAGAGCCAGACCTGTCCGGCATGTTTAGCAAGAGTTGCCTGGAGAGTTACAGTCCCCAGTCGTATTAAGCTTGGCAAGTGGCTGCTGATGACTTTATAAGATACCAGATAGGACTATTTCCAACTGAGAGCCAGTGCTGTGGAGAAAACCTTCAAATTACAGTAAATGTTTTTTGACAAAACTCAAAAAAGACAAGGGCACTAAAAGTACAATCTGCATTTTTTGTGGTCATTCTTATTTTGTGCATTTTTGTCTCCAGGACTGATAATTACAGCACTGTTCATGGTGTTTTATGCGTTGCACATATATTTCTTGGTTGTTGAGGAGACAAAAGAAATCTTAAGTTGCTCCATTAAACTATAATGTACAGTTTTGGAGTTACAATAGAGCTGAAGAAAAATCATATGATTAGTTAAACTGACCAGAACAGTTTGATTTAAAACTAGAAACAGCACAGCGGTAGCATATATGACCCCTGCACATACACAAAGCACCAGTGCACCAGAGCTCATCAAAACAGATTTATTGTTTTGGGTGGGGGTGGGTGCTCTTTGGTAGGTCTGATGGATAGCCCTTCATTAGAGATAATAAATAAATAAATAAATAAATAAATAAATAAATAAATAAATAAATAAATCTGAAGCGCCTATGTTGAGTAGTT